AGTCATTCCATATCCAATTTTTGCGGAATTGCCATGCTTCGTTCCACGGTGGGTGTACCATTTTAAATTCACTGTGGTCAGAGAATATATTCTGTGTGATTTCAAATCTTTTATATTTGTGGATGCTTGTTTTATGGTCCAGACGATGGTCTATCTTAGTTTGTGCAACACAGACACTTGAAAAACATTGTACTCTGCTCTCATTGGTTGGAGAGTTTTATTTGTCACATAGAGCCCTTTAGTTTATTGTGCTATTCAGGTCTCATATCCCTGCTGATCTTCCCTCTAATAATTCTATGTCTTGCTGACAGGGGGTGTTGTAGACCCCAAGTATTATTATGGCCTTGGCTATTTCTCCTTTCATCTCCAGCTGTTTTTGCTTCATGTATTTTCAGGCCCTGTTCTTTGGGATGTACATAGGATGTTTACATCTCTTTGGTGGATTGATCCTTTTATTGTTATGTATTGCTTCTCTTTGTCTCTAATTCAGTTTCTTTCTCTGACATCTACTTTATTGGAGATTGTCTTATAAAGTGTCTTGGTTTTATTGCACCTGCATCCACTCTTAGGACTTCTATTGCTGTTCACTACCTCTCCCCACATACGTTCCCACCAAAGTATGTAATTCACCATGTGGAAAGATTTGGAAGTTTTTTGGCATCTACAGGAATAGATAGTCTCAGTTCTGTCTCCCATATGTGGATTCACTAAAGATGTTTTATTTTTACCACATTCAACTGAAACAGTGTACCAGCAGACAACAACACTAGTGGTTTGTGGGGAGAGAAGATTATGGGAATTAGACTGTTAGAAACTGTCTATGGCCATGCCACCCTGAACAAGCCCGATCCTGTCTGATCTCGGAAGCTTAGCAGGGTCGGGCCTGGTTAGTATTTGGATGGGAGACCACCTAGGAAGACCAGGTGCTGTAGGTGTAAAAAAAATAAAAATATAAGGGGTTGTAAACTGACAAGGTCCTGGCAATCTGTGAGGTCAACCAAGGATTGTCTTGCCTAAAAAAATTAAATAAAAAAAAGAAACCAGCTTCTGTTGGGTTCTAATACTTAAGGTTTTCTGTGTTTGTGTGTTTAACATCTTGTACATTAATTACTCTGTGTTGACTCAGAACCACTTATGAGTAAAACTCCATTCATTGCTGATCGCTCCATGGTGTACTGATGACAACCAAGACTCAGGTTAACTCCTCTGGGGTGTCGTTGCTGTCACTGTGTGGCCCACTGTCAGGACAATCCTGCAACTCACAATCTTTGGCACCTTCCCTGGAAGTGAAATTGAACATGGGTAGAGAGCATTTGACCAAGAAATGCCACTTGCTCAGTCCCCAAAACTTGGAAGCAGCCTGGAGTACTCCACATCCCAGTGATCAGGCAATTCTCTTGGTCCCTCTCCCAATGTATATCTAGAATCTAGTCACTTCTCACCACCTCCATTACTACTGCCTTGGCCAAGACACTGACATGCATCTTCTGAATTATACTACCTTCCAACTAGTCCATCTTCTTTCATTCTTGCCTGCTTGCCATCTGTTTTTCAACCCAGCAGCAGAGCATAAGTCAAATTATTCCACTCCTCTGTTCAAAACCATGTAAAAATGGTTTGAAGCCCATCAACATGTTCAAAAAAAAAAAAAACCAAAAAACATGAGTTCATGATCCTACTAAACAACAATAACAGCGAAGAAGACCCTTATTGGTGAGCTTTGGTGAGAGCCAGCAAATCAACGCATTTTCATGAAAATCCATCAATGAAAGTAAAAAATCAAATATTAAAGGGAGGAGTAATGGTACAGGGTATATGAATGGCATATAGCATGAGCTAGAGTCATTTTTGACAATTGACATTACTTCAGAAATAACATCACTGAGGGAAAGTGTAAAAGTGAGCTAGCTAACAGCTACAGCAATCTCCAGACGACCAACTAAATAGGGCAGGTGCATAAAGAAGACCAGAGCCCTCCCTCCTCAAGGTGATTCAGACAAACGTGATCTCAAGCATGGCCTTGTTTGGGGAATTTCACAGGAGAGTGGGCATGTGATAAAAGCCATAGAGGTACCACACACACTCTCTCTCTCTCTCTCTCTCTCTCTCTCTCTCTCTCTCTCTTACTGAACATTTGCATCTCAGTGTGATTCCTGTCTCACAGTCATACTTCCAGAATTGAAGATGACAACAGTATTATAAAGCTGCTAGTGCCTCTTGCTCTGGCTGCTAAGTTCCTACTCAAGCTCCAGTAGGTTTTAACTGATCCTCCCAGAAAGAAAGAGTCGTGAGTATCTTTTAAGATATTATGTGTGTTCATATGGTTATTTCCTGTGTCATTTTGGAATTCTTCCCACATCATTGCTATGCCACTGAGTCATGGCACAGCATCCCTGCTATGGTAGGGAAGGAACGGAGTGAGAAGCAAACCCATACCTGCCCAGCAGCAACCAACATTTGCTCTGTGTTGGGCAGACTCACTAGATTTCTTTGACCTCCTTACAGATGCCCCATGGAGGAGTGTATTCATGGTCCCTTTTCAGGTCATGAATATTAGGCTCACAGGTGTTAATTATAATTTTCAGGATTTCTCAGCCAGGTAAGTGGTAGAACAGGAAGTGTGCCCTTGCCTATCGGTCTGTATTCACGTCCTAAGTTATTCTCCAGCTCCTGCAGTGGTTCTCTTTCAATGGTAAACTTTTAGGTATCAAGAATAAACTAGTGAGAAGACCAGAGACGATATTTTGTTCTCAGGAGCTAGTCCCTCCTGCTTGAGTGGGCCCAGGTGTCTGACCAAGTGGAGAAATCTGTCTTGGGCTAGATAGAAAAATTAGATGATAGATTTCAGATTAAGAGTCACTTTGGGTTGGCAATGTCGGGTATATAACAGAGGCCTAATTAAGATGTATTAAATGAATGTACGTAATGTAGATTTGGGATCATCAAAAAACCACTTTAGAGCATACATACATCTTATACATTTCTACCCTTCTCTATTTATTCTAGACAAATTTAGGCTGCAGAATCATTTCATAAAATGCTTCGTGAAACTACTGTGATTTGAAATTTTCTTTTGCAAAATTAATATTTTTTCATTAGTGTACAGTTGGAAGGAGAATGAAGTCCCTCCAGCTGACTAACGCTAAAACTACAGCTTTTCTGATGTCAGGAAAGGAAACTTTTATAAACAGTGGTTACAGAAATGAGAAGAAACCTTCCTTGTATCCAACAGACATCTTCCTGGAACTCTGCTGTGTGTAGGAAGAAAGTTGTGGACTACAGACATGTTCGTGGGTGCTCAGCTTTGAGACAGACAGTATGTATGGCCTGTGTCTCAAAGGAAGGAGAGATGTATGTGAGTATGGATGTGTGCTAATATTTTCTGTTATACATTTTTATAATTAGCTTATAGATACATACATTGCAAATCATGTTAGTAAATGCATTGCCACACAAAACTGAATCTTACCATATATTTTGTTTTCATGTATTATATACTACATATGGCTCAATCTTAGTCCTTTTCTTTAATATGCTGTTTAATTTTTTTACACCTTGGTGTTGTAATATTTGAATTAATTTTTTTTAAAAATTAAAGTAATAGAATTCCCTATAAAGAGTATTTGCATTGTTGGAGGCCAAATTACACAGTGGAGCATGGCTTTGGTTTCTGGGCAGGCCCAGGATTTGAGTTCCTGCTCTAAAGCTTCCCAGAAGTAGCATACAAATATTTTATTTTATTTATTTTTTATTGAGGTAACATTGGTTAATAACTTTATATAGGTTTCAGGTGGACAACATTGTAATTCAACATCTGTATTTCTATAGCATTCCGTCCACCAAAAGTCTATTTTTTATCCATCACGATACATCTGACCCCCTCTACCCATTTTGCCCTCCCTTCATCCCACTTCCCTTCGGGTAACCACCAACGTGTTGACTGTGTCTATGAGTTATTTTTGTTTTGTATTGTTTGTTCACTTGTTTCTTTTTTGTTTTGTATTCCACAAATGAGTGAAATCATATGGTTTCTGTCCTCTTTCATCAGACTTACTTAGCACAATACTCTTAAGGTCCATCCCTATTGTTGCAAATGGCAATATTTCATCATTTTATGGCTGAATAGTATCCCACTGTATAGATATACTACAACTTCTTTATCCATTCATTCATCGAAGGACAGTTAGGTTTTTCCCATATCTTCACTATTATAAATAATTCTGTAATGAACATTAGGGTGTGTATATCTTTTCAAATTAATGTTTTCATATTCTTCGGATAAATATCCAGGAAAGGAATTACTGGATCACATGGAAGTTCTATTCTTAATTTTTTGAAGACCCTCCATATTGCTTCTTATACTGGCCACACCAATGTACAATCCCACCAACAGTCTACGAGAGTTCCTTTTAGCACGTGATGTTTTACAATATAAGACATAGTTTCCTGTCCCGACCCGCAGGACCTAGTTATTGCGTAGAACCCGAGGAGGACCGTACCTTGAAGAAAACATGGGCGGGAGAAAAGAATGGAGGCAAGACAGTATTCTGATCAAGCCTCCAAATTTTATTTTCGAGCGGTTATATTTATACACTCAAGTGGAGAGGGCAGGGGCGGGACTGATCAGAGAGTATTCGTTACAAGCTTATTGGCGTCCACCAGATGAGGTGATTTCTACCTGGCTGGGCA